CTGGATCCCAAGCGGGGTTCCGTCAAACCCAGCAAACTGGGTTCAATGGCCTGGCCCAAGGAAGAAGAGGAAGAAAGAAGAGAAAGGAAGAAGACAGAATTTTTTTATTTTTTTTTTAAATATAAATAGTAATCATGTGAGTTGGCATGAAAAAAAAATCCACATCAACACGTTTTCAATTTGTTTTTGCCACGTCATCAAAAAAATAATAAAAAATGCCACATGAGCGAGTTAACGATCGAAATTAACAGAAGGACTAACTGAGTGCATTTCTTAAAGTTTAAGGATCAAAAAAGTGCAAAAAATTGTTGAGGGACCAAAAATGTGCAACTCACTAAAGTTGAGGGACCAAATTTAGCATTTAACCTTTTTTTTTTTTACAAATTCAACTAATAAATAGTAATAATTAAAAAACAAGCTTCAACAACATATCTTAATATAATTTACTAGTACATAGCTAAGTGGTTGGAAATCAAAGTAGAAAGTTGAAATTGACTTAAGCAATTTAGTGATGATCTTCTTCTGTTAGAAGTAAGAAATTATGAGTTCAAATCACATAATACATAAGTAAGGTAAGTTGAAGGAAAAGAGAGAATTGTCATCTATTGTGTAATATAATATATATATATATATATATAACTTCATACTACAAAATAGAGTTCTAATAATTTATTTTAGAGTAAAATATTTGAAAATATAAAACAAAAATATTTTACAGTCAAAACTATTGTTGGACTACAAAATACTAATTGAATTAAGTTGAACCTTCTATTTATTTATCTTAAGTTGCACAATAAAAGGCAACCATCTCCAATCCTTTAACTTATTCTACTTACATTCTATACGACTTGAATTCAAAATTTTTTATTTTTATTTAAAAAGAAATTATCAATTTACTACAAAATTATTTAAATCATTGTAACTTTTAATTTAATAATTAGTATTTTGTACTCTAAACTACAAAATACCAAACTTAATATAATGAAATAGTGATTTGTGACATCAAATTTTAAAACAAAATTATTTCAGCCTTGAACTCGTATTCGGTTTGTAATCCATAACAATCATAAATTCCTCTTTAAGTGTTTGTTTGGATAAAAATTAATAAAAGAAAAGAAGAGAGAGGAAGGGAAGGGAGGAGAAGTGAAGGGAAGGGAAAGGTTGATTTTAGTTTTGTTTGAATAGAGAAAGTGTAGTACAAGAAATGATAATATTTTTATTTAATTAAATAATCTTATAAAAATAATATAATATAATAAAATTTTTAAATTTTATTAATTAAATAAATAGTTGAAATGAAATGTTCATATATATATATATATATATATTTTTTTTCACCAAAGATGTTAGACAATTTATAATTGCACTTCAAAAGCTGTTAACAATGGTTAGATCCTTATGAAACTTGACACCTGTCCTTATACCACCCAAATCTAATCGTTGGATTGTTAGGCTACTTTGGCCCTATCAACCCAAAATCGCCAAAATGCCACTATATATATTTGATTTTTCCTTCATTTTTTGGTAGATTTTTGGTTCCACAAAAAAGATTATTTAGATCCCATGCCTAAAAACACACTTGGTACTTTCAAAAAATCTTCATCTTCAACCTCTCACTTTACACACAAACACCCCCCCCCCCAAATCTCTATTTTCCTTACATTTTCTACATTTCTAACCATACAAAACATTCTCCAAATTTGCAACACATCATGATTGGGAGATTTCATGTAACAGTTTAAGGTTCTGGATTGTTTTCCTCAAGCATAAAAGGATCAGTTAGCAAAGTTAGCATCACGGAGTGGGATCAAGTCCTCCATTAAAAGTCTCCACGATAGTCATCCTTTGTTCTCCCATCACTACTTTCTAGTTTATTTCTTTTTGTTTGGTGCAAATTTGAAGAAGATTATTGTATTTTGTACCCTAATATGAGGGTTGCCCATTTTAGAGCTAAGGTATTTGTCAGGGATAATAGAAGGCACATTTGCTGTGGTTATTATTATGCTACAATGTATTTCATATAAATGTACTTCTCAAGTTGTATAAGTTGATCTTTATATATTTTCTATTCATGTTGCCCCTACTACATTGTCCATCTCCTGCTCATTGTTTTTGGTAGTTCTGTAATTGTTCTTAGTTCTTGAAATCCCATCATCATTGCCCAACCCTTCTGGCTTAGTTGGAGAAATCATATTTTCATACTTCGTTGGAGAAATCTACATAGTTCATCTTCATTAAGCGAAAGGATGTGGCTCATAGCACATAGCATTCTACACATGAAATGGGTGTAGGTCAAAAAGACCCTCCTTATCTCTCGTGGGAGGTATTAAAGTGTTTCCTCAAAAATCCTCTAATGACCTCACATGTGAAGAATTTGGATGTAGACGTGCCATTTATTTTGCCAAAGGCAAGAAAGAAGGATTTTCCCAACGACCCTCTCCTTTCTCATGGTCAACTTCCTTGTAGATGGCAGGAAGAACGTTGGTTTAAAATTAAAATATGTGCCCAAAGACGATTTGTAAGAGGGAGGGATGCCTCCTTACAAAATGGAATACTAAATCTATCTTGGACAACTCCAAGAACTTAACACTACCGTGTATCAAAGTTTAAAGATCCTAAACAAGCTAAATGGCATGTAAATTAAAATAAATTCGCAAATAAAAAATGCACCCTAATTAAACTAGGTAAGTTCATTGTTAGATTAAATTGTTATTTACAAATAGATCTAGAAACTAAACTGCTGTAGATTTGGAGACTTAACCCTAATTAACACTAAAACAAATACGAACAAGAACTAAATTAACATACTTGAAATTGAGAAGAAGCGTAAACACCATATAAATAATTATTTGATGAAACACTACTTATCATAAACAATAAATTAATTCCAACCAGAAAAGGAACAGTACCTTGCATAAATTCAAAAGTTTGAAGTTCATTACATGAAACAAAATTGCTGAAGCGAATACATGAACTAATTCAATTATTGGGATGATGAAAAACAGCCTAAATCTACTAGGAATTGTGCTGAAATTCGAAATCTATAAGCAAAAGTAAGCAATTGAAGAGAAATTAAAAACCTAAAAATTTGCAGGTTATGTGTAAGGGCTGGCCGTGTGTTCTCTGATCCAAAATTTCCCTTTTGTTTCCTTTTTCCCTAGCTGAAACTCCCACTTTCTACAGTTACAAAAATCATGGGCAGTTTCTTGACGTAGTGGGACACCTCAGTAGTTGACATGATCAAAGTTCCTTATAGATTTTGCCACTTGTTTTCTTATCTGATAACTCATCCCATAACTGAAATTACCTTCTACATTTTAGCTAAAACAGACCTAATTACGTCAAAAAAGTAACTAAAAGATAAAATCTTATCTTTTTACCTCCTCTTTTCCCATGTGACAATTGATCTATTATGGGGCCCAAAATTGTATATTTGACATGGCTAAATCTTCTCCATCCATTTAAAATTTTTTTACATGTGGCATGATATTAAATATTTGCAATTTATGGTGTAAACACAAAATCAACTTCCACATCATCACCATTACTAGCTCATCACCTTCTTATCCCAACATACAATTTGAGAATTAAAAAAGAGATGGCCAAAACTTAAAATTTAAATGTCTAAATGTCATCACACTTGTCAAAAGAATTATAGCTATTAGATCATAATAGTAATTGACTTTAAAAATATTTATTAAAAAGTAATACTTTTAAAATTGAAACTCAAACTTCTTCATGAGTCACAATGATAGATACTTTTTTTCCATAAATAAACATAAATACATAAAACCAACAACTTGTTGGTTCGAGTAGAAGGAGTTCAATTCCCCTTAAGTAAAGTATCAAGTTCGAGTCTTGTGAATGGAGAAATAGGCACTGCCGCGTTGGGAAAGCTTCTCCTTTATGAGGTCCAATACGGTTTGATTTCAAATTAGTTGGGGGCCCAATGTGACTTTTGAATATTGAACAATTAGTAAAAAAATATAAACAAATAAATAAGTTGGTGGAGGGGAATATCCTAAAGGACAATGATTAGTACACAGTTGGTTCAACACACTCATTAAAAAATTGTTATTTCTTAATTTAAAATTAAAGACAGATATGTTTAAAGATATAATTATACATACAAGATGCAGACACTAGCTAAATCGACTGTATTTATATTATATTTTTATTGGTTGAATTGAAAGTGTGTTTAAAAATGTGTTGAATTGAGTGTGTACCAATCATTTTTCTATCCTAAAATATTCTCTATGTGCTTTTAAGTCAATAAGTCAAAGCTCTCATAGGGTGTTTGATATTAGACATTTGAGATTAGAGGGTTTGACTAATTAGACTAATAAAAATATTTAAGAGTTAGGATTTATTTATGTATAATTTTTATATATTATATTTATATAAAATTTTAATTACTTATTTCTTAATTTTTAGTAATTAAGATTTATCTATTTATTATTATGTTTATTAAGATAATTATCTTTTTTATCCAAAAAATCTCAATTATTTAAAGTGATAAGAATTGTTAAAATTTTGTATAAATATAATGTATAAGACTTAAGTATAAGTAAATCTCCCTTTACTATTTAAATTACAAACAATAATTATTTCTTGTTGGGTTAATGGCCAAAGTGTCCTTACGATAATCTTTTTCGGCAAAAATTAGAGGGTCTTATTTAAGTTGCATTTCATATAAATGAAGTGATTTAAAGAATAAAAAATAATTATTTATTATCAAAGATCAACTATGAGCTACTTAGGGATGGGGCTAAACTTTTGGATAAAGGAGGTGAAATCTTAAAATTTCTCTTAATCATGATAAGTTCACATCAATATAACTTATATCAATTTTTAACCATTAATCATGTAGTTTGTTAGTAGAATTATATATACTTTTAGTTAAAGATCTAGGGTTTGACCATAGTTTTTACATATGAAAAAAATTATACTAATTTTCATATTAATCACTAATTTTATGTGTAAATATACTACTTATAACATATATGTCAAATTTTAATTAATTAAATATATTTAATTATTTTTTAATAACATACAATTCAATATCCTTAAACAAATAATATAAAATAACAAGAAAAATGTTAATAAGTTGGATTTAGAAAAAAATTATGAAAAATATATTTCAAAACTATGTTATTTAAATAAACTCTACTAAAATAAATAGACTAAATTAATATATTTTTAGGGTAAGAATAAAGACTATATTAATATTTTTTGTGATACTTTATTAGAATATCCTAGTTTTCAATTGTTTTTTACCTTTTCTTTTTTGTTTTTACAAGTCTAATAAATAAATACTAATCTTACATAAAATATAGTTTCTTTTTTAATATAGTTACAGATATTAATGAACTTTAAATTTAAATATTAAATTCCATTGTTGAATTGATTTGAATATAAATTATATAAAAGAAATTACAATTAATGTCAAATCTTTTTTCATATTCAAATAAAATTATTATCTTAAAAATTGATTACAAAGAAAGAAATTGTACTTTTACCTAGTTCCTAAATATTTTCTTTAAATTCAAAATGATTCTGGTAATTTAAATATCAAAAATAAATTTTGTTTTAATTAAAAATTAACATATTAGATTAAACATTTTTTCAAAAGCTTAGGGGGCGGCTGCCTCCTTCCCTCTAACGGAGCTACCTATTGTTTTTAAATCGCTAATTCAAGCACCCCCTAATGAAATAGACTTCTTCACATTCTGGTGTTCAAGTGCACGCATTCCCTTCCCCAATCTTGGAGAACAATTGAGTCATTAAACTAAATTAACCCTTTAAAACTCAATGAACTAAGCTGCAGACAAAGAAAAATACAACATGAAGAATCATTATCAAGAGAAAAAATGTAAATAAAAATGTTAATTTTATATTTTTTTAAGAATGTTAACTATATTAATTTTTAAATAAAAATATTAATTTTTTATTTTTTATTTAAAAATATTAATTTTTAACTTTTTATTTTAAAATACAAACTTTTAATATTTCAGTTTAAAAACCTATATACTGCTTGACTTACCAATCAATTAATCCTTAAAAAAATTAAAAATTAATATTTTAAATTAAAAAAATTAAAAATTAATATAATTAAATATAAAATACAAAATTAATATATTTATTTATACATTTTCTCTAATTAACAATAACCTACGCATGCACCTGACGCTTCAAGTCTAATGATATTATCCATATTGAAAAAAAATGTGCACTTCCTCCTCTCTTAGTATTGGACCCAATCCCATTCATTGTAAATATGTTAAAAAATAATAATAATAATAACCTACCCAATTTCAGGGCTTTAATTCATTGCTAAATATAGAGTCATAAATTCCTCTTTAAAATTTAGTATGAAAAATTCCTCCAAACGTAAAAATGAAGTATCGTCACTCACGAACGAGTTGATAGATTGGTAGAAACACTTTTAATTTAACTAAATATTTTAATTTTAAGTGTTAAAAATATAATTTTATTAAAATTTATAAAAGATAATTTTGTCACTTGTTGAATTATACCCAACTCAAATCCGAATTATACCCAACTCAAATCCAAATTAATGGATGGTTCAGCAAACCTTCAAATATCAGATGTTTCAAACAAAGACAAATGAAGTACCGCCAAGTCAACAGCGCGGTGGCTTCAAGAACAGTACCGTCTACTGTACATTAAGCCCCATCATATTTGTTTTGTTTTGTGCAGAAGCAAGTCAATGGCTTATCTATTCCACCAAAAAGAAAAAAAAAATCAATGGCTGATCTCGCACCAAGCAAAGGCAAACTAGCAGGCAAAGTAGCCATAATCACTGGCGGAGCAAGCGGCATAGGAGAAGCCACCGCCCGTCTTTTTGCCAATCACGGTGCCCGCATGATCGTCATCGCCGATATTCAAGACCAACTCGGACTACAAGTAGCTGCATCCATCGGCGCTCAGAACTGCATCTACTTTCACTGCGACGTTACTAAGGAAGATGAAGTCAAAGCTCTGGTTGAATCGACAGTGCGGGATCACGGCCAGCTCGACATCATGTTCAGCAACGCCGGAATTTTGGGCAAATCGGAGCAGACGGTTCTCGATCTCGATTTCTCCGCCTTCGACCGTTTGTTCTCGATTAACGTGCGCGGGATGGCCGCGTGTGTCAAACACGCGGGGCGTGCGATGGTTGAGAAGCGCGTGAGGGGGAGCATTGTGTGCACGGCGAGCGTGGGGGCGAGTCATGGAATGAAGCGGCGGACGGATTATTGTATGTCGAAGCACGCGGTTCTCGGATTGGTACGGTCGGCGAGTCTGCAGCTCGGGATGCATGGGATCCGGGTGAACAGTGTGTCGCCGAACGGGCTGGCGACGCCAATGACGTGTGCGGCGTTGGGGATGGCGGTGGAGGAAGTTGAAAAGGTTTATGAAGGTCAGAGGTGCCTGAAAGGAGTTAGTCTTAGAGAGGGAAATGTGGCGGATGCGGTGGTGTTCCTGGCCAGCGATGAGTCGTCGTTGATCACCGGGCATGATCTCGTCGTTGACGGCGGTTTTGCGAGTGGGGGAAATTTGGAGCGGGTGAAACTGATTCCTTGATTGGAAAGAAGGTCCAGGTCCAACAGATTGAAGGGTAGATGTGGACTTGTGGGCCTCTAAAGAAATGTTGTTTACTTCTTTAGGTACCCTAGTGTAGAGATTGGCCCAAAAATGGTCCAGCTAGGTGTAACAGCTGGATCAATAAATAAATAACCTGATTATTGATTATTATAAAATTTATAAAAAAAATATTAGTTGTTTAATTAAATAATTATAAATAATAAATCAATTTAAAAATTAATACGCATTATCTATATTATTAAAATATTAAATTTAACTATTAATTTTTCAAAATATTTATTAAAAATAATATTTTTAAAATTAAGACTCAAATTTATTTATTTGAGTTGGTGTTAATTAATATCTTTTTCACAAATAAATATAAAGAAATAATTGGTTAAACTTTTAATTTGATTCTTCAATTATTGTATGAACCTTTAATTTGATCTCTAAATTAAAAAAATCTTTGATATGCTTCTTATTGTTTATCAATTTAGTTCCAAATTGATCCCTTCATTAAAAAAAATGCTGGCATGCCTATTCCTTAGGGTAAAAAACCATTAGTTAATAGTTATATGTCACATCACATTAATAGTGAGACACTGTTAATTTTTTTTTTTTTTTGCACAAAAAGATTAACTTAAGGTAAAATTGATAAACAATAGAAACTAAATCAAATATTTTTTTAATTTAAAACCTAAATTTGAAGTGTGTACAATAATTGAGAGATTAAATTTGAAGTTTAACCATAAATTAAAAAGAGTTGGTGGAGAAACCTCACCCTTCAGATCAAGTGACCTTAATCACGTTTGTAAAGTTCATATCCACTCCCAGGCAACGGTTCGAAGCGGCACATGACAAAAATGTGCAAAAAAGAGTTGGTGGAGGGGAATATCCTAAAATATTCTCTTTGCGCTTTTAAGTCTATTAGTCAGAGCTCTCGGAAGGGTGTTCGAGATTAGACATTTGAGATTAAAGGGTTTGACTTTGAATAATTAGACTAACAAAAATATTTAAGAGTTATGATTTATTTATATATAATTTTATTTATTATATTTATATAAGATTTTAATTATTTATTTATTTTTAATAATTAAAATTTATTTATTGTTTATTATATTTATTAAAAATAATAACAATTATTATTTTTATTTCTTTATCTTAGTTGTATAATAGGAAGCAATTATCTCTTATCCCATCTCTCAGTGGCGGAGCCAGGGGGTGCGAGGGCGGTGCTCGCCCCCCCTGAAATTTGAGAATCTTGCAAATTAACATAAGAAAAATTATCTAGCCCCCCCTGAACTTTCAAAATTTTAGTATTTTGCCCTCCCTGAAAAAAATTTCTGCCTCCGCCCCTGCCATCTCTCATATTTTATCACACCCATCTGCATGTCATGTGACTCAAACTCAGAACCTCTTACTTCTAGCGAAATGAGATAACCACTAAGTTATTTAAGTTGTTGACTAAAAATAATTATTTTTTATCAAAAAAATTCTAAAACCTCAACTATTAAAAGTAAAAAGATAAACAGTTAAGATTTTATATAAGTGTGATATATAAAATTTAAATTTAAATATCAGTAGATCCCCCTTAATATTTAAATTAAAAACAATAATTATTGACCGTTGGGTTAATGGCCAAAGTGGCTTTGTGATAATCTTTTTGGCAAAAATTAGAGGGTCTTATTTAAGTTGCATTACATGTAAATGAAGTGGTTTAAGGAATAAAAAGTAATTATATTTTATTATATAATTTAAAATAAATTAAAAAAATTATTTATCATCAAATATTAAGTATGAGTTACCTATCATTTTTAGATTGTTAATTCAAGCATTTACTTATAATATATTTGGATTGAGAGAAACGAAAAGGAGAGAAGAGGAGGTGAAAAAAAATTATTTCTTTAGTTATAAAAATATTGAAGGCAAGGAGAAAGAAAAATTTTCCTTTACTTTATTTATTTTTTATTTTAGTTTAGTTACTTATTGGAATGAAGGGAAGGAAGGAGAAGGGAATAAAGGGAAATGAAGGAAGAAAATCCCCTTCCCCTGACTTTCCCTCCTTTCAACTTAAATATAATGTTAATGAAAAAGACTTTTTCACATTCTGGTGAGGTTTCAAATGTTTACATTCCTTTCCCCAATCCTGTAAAACAATTGAGTCATTAAACTAAGGGTATGTTTGGAATTACAGTCAAGTGTTGTAGTTTTAACTGTAACTATAGCTATAATTGTAGTTGTGGTTATGTTAAACTATGCTATACTATAACTGTAACTGAAAATCATTTTAGTGTTTGGTTATTTATTGCTTAAAAGCCTTATGAAAAAATATAGTAGATTTTATTAATTATTAATTAAAATTTAAAAGATATTGTAAGATATATAATTATTAAAATAGATAATATTTATTATTTATTAATAATTTAAGTTTTTTAGATTTATTATCATCATTAAAATATTATCAATTATAATGTAATTAAATTATACAAAATTAGATTTTAATTGGTAATTTTGTAATTATGTTAAATATTATGTGTTTTTAATAAAAGCCACAACTGGAAAATTCTAAAATGAAGCTTTTGACCTTATATATAAAATTATTATCGATTTATCGTAGCTTTCTCTACTTTTAGAAAAACAGTCTGAAAAAATTATCAAATGCACATATATTTAAAAGTATTGTATGGCTACATGAAAAAAGCTTCAGTCACAACCCCAAACGCACCCTAAATTAACCCTTTAAAAAGCCACTAAACTAAACTATAGATAAAGAAAAATACAACATAAAGAATAGCTATCACTACAAGAAAAATGATTTTTAGTGACAGAAATTTGTGATAAATTTTGAAATTATTACTATAACTTATCACAATTGTGACAGATCTAAAAAAATTAGTCACAGATATATACAAATTTAATGATGAACAAAAAAATTCATCATAAAAAATATATTTTGTTATCGAAAAATATTCATAAATATAAAATAAGCTTTTGTCGATAAAAATCATCACTATAATGCATTACAATTATGACAAAATTTAAATATTGATCACATATACCTTACACATTTAATGATGACCAAATAATTTAGCACTAAAAAATATATTTCGTCACTAAAAATTGTCAATTTTCTATAATCAATACATCCCATATCAATAAAAAACACATAAGAGAATAATGTTTTGCACTATAAATATATCCCACATCGACAAAAAATATTTAAGAAAATATATTTTTGCACTATAAAACATGTGAAACTCAATAAAACTTCATATTAGTTTGGGCCTGATTAATTTTAATTGGGCTTGATTAATTTTAATCCGATTTGATTAATTTTAATC